ACTTAATATAAAAAAATTATAAAGATTGGTTAAAATTTGAATAATTTTTATTAGAAGCAATTATTAATTTTTATATTAAGGTACAGATATTTTTGTACTGATCCATATTATATATAATAATCATTTATATATTTAAAATAAAATTAATCTTTAAATAAATTAATATAAATTAATAAATATAATATAAAGAGCATAAAATAAAGATTATACTAAAATAAAATAATTGAATTAAAATTATTATAATAATCTTGAAAAATTTAAAATTTATATAAATTATAATTTTAAATATTTTTTAAAATTATCTTTAATAATTTATAATATAATAAAAGATTTTATATTTTTATTATGTAAAAATATTTTTATCTTTTTTATAAATATTTTACAATAATATCTTATAAAAATCTGAAATTTAATAAGTTAATTTTTGTTTAAAAAAGAAAAATTATTAAATAATTTGAAGTAAACTATCAAAATAAATTATTTTTTAACTTGATTAATTGAATTTTACTTATAAAATATATTAAAAAGAATAATTCATATAGATTTAATTATTAATAAGAACTTTATAAATTTTATTTATCTATAATAAATCTTTTTAATTTTTATAAAAGTATTTATAATAAGTAAATTATAACAAAATTTATAATATAATAATTATTTTATTTTATAATTAATAAAAATTAATAAAATATCAAATCTATATTTTTTGTAAATATATAAATATAATAAATATTAAGCTTATTAATTATTTAGCTTTTTATATACTCAAAAATCTTTTGAAAATATTTTAAATAAGATTTTCAAAGAATATGAAAACTGAAGCATGAAAAGATGACTGATATAATTAAAAATGCCTATTGCGAGTATAGCTTAGAGTTGCAATTCTAATTATGACTATAAAAAATGGGTTGCAACCCTGGATTGCAACTCAATTACATTCACTTTTTTAATTGTTACTAGTATCATTGAATATAATTATGTTATTAAATAAACAAATATTAAAAATAATATTAACAGATCTGAACTAATTACAAATTCCACATATTTAATTTCAGGCAAACCCGTCGGAGTTGAATGAAAATTCAATGGCATAAACTGCAATGATACTTTCTTTATCCCATTCTCAACCTTATTACCAATGTATATCTGATGAATTTGATTTAAATCTGTTTGCATAAATCATCCTCGGACTCGATATCAGCTATACTTACTTTACATATGAGAAAATGGCATTTGAAGCCTTTCAACACGCTGCAAGATAATTTCAATAGTTTTAATATCATTTTGGTGTTCTCCAAATAATAATTTATCATACTTATCATATTAACGAATACCGAGAAATTCTCAATTTCGAAGACTCTTGGTAGGAATCAAGCTTTAAAAGAGTTTCAAGAAACCTATGCCTCGTGTTTATGAATGTCCCTACTCTTGAAACTTCGCGATAAGAAAAGAAATTCCTCTGCTCTCTTTTAAAAAAAAGCAATCCTCGAAACTGTCAATTATTTTGCAAGTTATATGGTAACAGTTAACGACATTGGATGCCTAGTACCTCGAAAATCTTCTGGTGGAAATGAACAAAACATCTTTGGAATATTGACAGGGATGGATTCTTTCTTTGATAATGCATTCGCTGCGTTGTGATCACATCCGATTAAAGGTATAATACAAACTTTTGTTAAGAACAATCACCGCCATTCCAGTTCTACTTGACAAGATTCTGGTCAGTAAGCCACTACGATTAACTGTGGAGAAAATAGAGCGTTTGATTTTGAAACCTCACAATATTTTATTGAGATGCTTTCTTACTTTGTTTTATCTCTAGAATATATCACTACACATAAAATTCAAGCCCAAATTATGTACTGAGAAGACGGGAACATCTGTTACACAGTTTGAAGTTTTTCGCGACAACTTACTTTTTGACATGAACAAAAAATTTGTCTATGGAATTTTTATCGTGAAGCAACCTGCAGTGACACTGTTTTTGATATCCAGATCAAACTCAATGAGTTGATATATTCGCATGAAAAAACCAGCTTTCCAAAAATGGCCTTGCAAGATGGCACTCAGACGATTAGGAAATGTGCTCAGCTCCGTTTGTCAATATCTTTGTAACATGCCAAACATCCAAGTTACAAAATATTCTTCCGGGCTGTATTCTGTTCTGATTAAAATAGAATGCAGCGAGTCTACGGGGATTACCGTCTTGTAATCGTCGCAAATGTTCAATAAAGAGAACATCGACAAGATGCTAGGTGACCACCTAGCGATTGCGAAGGATAACTTCGCACAGAATTTTGTTCCTATGTATGTCTCGCGATTATCTTCTTTCCACAGAATTGCAATAGATTTCTAACTTGATCACTAAATTTGGAGAAACCATATCTAATGTGAGTTTATCCAAGGAACGAAGAATATGGTGTAAAGTTCAAAAAGCTTAAAAAGATGCTGGGCAGGGCTCATTCCCTCCTCAAAAAAGGATGAAACCTAGAATAGATAAACAAAGTCATGTATCGAATTCAATACTAATTATTCAGACATACTAACTGATTAAAAAATCCAATTGCGGTTAACCGGTTAAAAATATTTTTATATTTAATAATTGTTCAATTTGTTTTTGTCAACGATGAATCATTGCAAAGTTGAAGGAATAATAATAAATGATTGATCTTCCATTATTTTTCTATCTCAGGTGTTAATCACGCAAAAAGTAAAAGCATGATAATTACGTAATAGATACTCATAATTAAATGTACTTAATACGGTAATATATAATATATATAATTTCATTCACAATTGTCTAGAAATAGTAAAATGATTGAATTTATTGTAAGAACAAAAGATCTGAACCAGTATTTATAGGGATATTGCCTGCAGTCTTCGGCCGGGAACCGAACTCACAGGAATAAACAAATAAATTTTTGATAATTGTGAAAAGTGTTATGATTAACTTTCCACTAGAGGAATAGATCATTTTTTTCAATCGGAGAAATGGAAATATTCATAAGTTATCATGAAAGTTGAATGTATGCTTTTTTTTTGATGAGATAAAGGCGAGTGATTCGAGTTTTAACAATTTGTCAATTGTTCTATCTATAGTCGTGACAATTGAGGCCTTTGCCTTCTTTAAGAATACGCGTAGTATTCAATACATCATATGATCGCCATTCAACGTCGATTGCTTTCAAGTAAAAACTATCGCACAGATCAATTGTATATTTACTGTATATATCCATATAGCTTTGACAAATATACATGTAATCATTTTATTTTCAACTCAAACGGCAACACTTTATTTGAAAGCCTTTTTTATATGACAATATACGTACATGTATTATCACTTGATTAATGAATGGCTGTATGTCTATTAACTCTTTATCTCGCTGACCGCCCTCTCGCATAAATATAGCGAATAAATAGTTAAGCCATTAGCTGATTTAATCGCGACAGTGGTTATAAAATCCTTTTTTCTCGAGATATTCATTTTAAACAAGTCCATGGTTTTCTAATTTACGTAATAATACACGTGCACATTATTAATTTTCAATTTGAAAACCAGCGATTTTCTGCATGCAGAAAATAAAGCATTGTGCAAGTAATAAATGCTGGCTTTCAACACACGTATTATCAATCAAATCGTTTAAATCTCAGATGGAATCTTTTGTCCATTTTATCTGTCATATATAATTAAATACATGCACATATACTGGTTTGATCCTGATTCGGCCACCACTATTATTTTTCAACATATTTATAATTTTGTTAACAAACTACAACAAAATCGAACATCTAAAGAGAAAGTAGATACATTTATTAAGTTTGGAAGCTTATCATGCAGTGATCCGATTAATCGAAAGAAGCATTTTATTTATCTTCTGGCAAAAAATAGTATTACGAGAAATTGAAATCATTTGAGTGGGTGTGTATGATGAGAACGATAAGCAAACTTGTATGCACAAAAATGGAATACTTTATTCATTATTTATTATTTGATGGAACCAATTTTTAACTTTGAGAATTTCAAATTTCCAAATGTCATTGTATAAAAATAGAATAACTTTTGCTAACTTAATCCGTCCGAATTAAAAGACAGACAATTGTTTCTTTAGGCAAAAAAATGGGAGCATCTTTATTCATTATAT